TTGCTTGAGAAAAACAAGTTCATTTTCAGATTTTTTTCATTCCCAATTACCTAAGCCAATGGTTTCTGTGGTGAGCAGGATCTGACATGGCTCCAAAGGATTCCCCCTCCTTGTATTCATGCCATTGTGAAATTCCCTCCCCTTGAGTGTGGGCTGGACCTAGTAAATTGCCTCTACAAATAGAATATGGCAAAGCGATGGCATGTCACATCCATAATTAGGTTACAAAAGGCTGTGACTTCTATCTTGCTGGTATTGTCTCTCTATTGCCTTCTCAGCTTGCACGCTTTGATAAAGCAAGTCACCATGTTGGAAAGGCTCACATGGTAAGAACTGAGACAGGCCACTGGCCAACAGCCATTAAGAAACTGACGGCCTCAGTCCAAACAGCCTATGAGGTTCTGAACCCTGCCAGCAACCATGTGAGTAAGCTCAGCAGGAGATCCTTCCCCAATCAAGCCTTGAGATGAGACCACAGCCCCAGCCAATATGTTGATTGCAGCCTTTTGAGAGATACTAAAGCAGAAGACCTAGGTGGTCTTCATGCCTGGATTCCTGACCCACAGAAAATGTGACATAACAAAAGTGTTGTTTTAAGATGCTAAATTTTGAGGTAAATTGTTACACAGCAATAGATTACAGATTATGGTCTCCAAACCTGCACAGACATCAAAATTATATTGAGAGTTTTGTACTTTGAGTCATAATTTTAAAATATTATTTTTTAACTTTTTGAGTTAAAAAATTCCCATTATTAAAAAAAATCCAAAGAAAATCCCACTTCCCTCCCTCAAAATAATCACTATTTGACCATTGGGAGCATATCCCTCTACATCTTTTTTATACAATTACATATAGTCGGCTCTCCATATCTATGGGATCCAAATCCTTGGATTCAACCAAACACAAATCAAAATTAGAGGACAAAGAGGGCAGAGCAAGATGGCCGAATAGACACCCCCAGCGACCATTCTTCCAAATGAACACCTAATCCAATAACTATCCATGCAAGCCAGCACCTTCAGAAGAACCAAAAATCAGGGGAGTGATCATACTACCTGGTTTTAACATTATATCAAGAGGCACTGAAGAGGGCAGAAAAAATAGTCTTGTATTGCCTACAGTACCACCACCACCACCCCATCCTCCCACAGTGCCCCACCAGCTCACCAAGTGGAGAGAGAATCTGTGTGCCTGGGGGAGGGAGAGTAAAGTGATTGTGGTGCTTTGAATTGAAACTCAGGGCCACACTGGCACTGGGGATTCAAACTTGTAAATACGTTAGCCACTTAAAAAACGAATTTTCTTTTCTCTAAGCAGCAGACATCACCAAACAATTCTTCATTTAATGTTCTGGAAAATAGACTCATTTCTCCACACTATGCCTTTTTTATATCTCTTTGTTAAAAAGTTTTATCCAGACACAGTGGCTCACACCTGTGATGCCAGCACTTTGGGAAGCCAAGGAAGGAGGATCACTTGAAGCCAAGAGTTCAAGACCAGCCTGGGCAACACAGTGAGACCACATCTCTACAAAAAGATTAGCCAGTTACTCAGGAGGCTGAGGCAGGACAATCAATTGAACCCAGGAGTTCCAGGCCACAGTGAGCTATCTATGATCGCACTACTGCCCTCCAGCCTAAGCAATAGAGCCTAAGCAATAGAGCAAGACCTTTTCTCAAAAAAGAAAAGAAAAGAAAAAGAAGTTTCACCCATAGGTTTCTGGTTTTTCTAAAGGAAAGCCTCAGAATATTATTTTTGGATGATTATATCTTGGATGAACTCCTTCATCCAGGAGCCTGGTGAAACATTTTTCTTTGAACCTGGAAATTATTTTTCTTTCTTTCTTTCTTTTTTTTTTTGGTTTCAAGACTTCATGGTCTGGATTTTATTCCAAGTTCAGATTGCTTGGAGGTCCAGTGGGATCACAACTTAGCAAAATATATCTCAGTTCCTAAAATCAAGCAACTGTTACCAACATCTGAGCTTCCACACTGAGCTGTTGAAAGGGCATTTTCATATCACAAGTGGAGGCAGCTTCCTGCTGTGGGTGGAGTGAGCTGGAATCAGGGGAGGCAGACCCAGCTGAAATTCTTTTCAGCCCCACACACCCCCTCCCACGCCCCCACCCCCACCTTCTGTATTTGCTGGGCCTGTCATTTGAGGCTAAGTCATATAGACAAATTCAAAGTTCACTCAGGGATATGGGCAAGGAAAGAAAACAAAACACACATTCTTCTCTCCAACATCTTTACCCAGACTTGAGATACTGACCTTCACATAGTAGACACCCAGTAAAGTTTGTTAAATGCTTGAAAGAAAGAAACAAAGGAGGAGGGGGGAGATAAAAGGAAGAGAGGGAGAAAAGAAGGGAGGGAGGAGAACAAAAGGAAAAAAGAGAAGGAAAGATTCTAAAGTGATTTTGAATAAATGCTCATTTATATATTTACATATACTGTCTTATAATAATTTTTTTTTGAAACAGGGTCTCACTCTGTTGCTCAGGCTGGGGAGCCATGGAGTCATCATACCTCACTGTAGCCTCAAGCAATCCTCCTGCCTCAGCCTCCCCAAATGCTAGAATTATAGGCATGAGCCACCATGCCTGGCCTATAATAAATTAATAATAAATAAAATTGAGTGCTTACTATGTGGCAGACACTGTGATAAACTGCATTATACACATTAATTCAAACCTCATGATAACACCATGAGGCAAACACTGTTATCAACCCCATTGTACAGGTGAAGAAACTGAGGTTAGAGAGATGAAGTAACTCACCCATATTGCCAAAAATAAGTGTGGGGCCAGAATCTGATAAGAATCTGATCTCTTTCTCATTTTTGTCCTCTACTATTCATCCTCAAGGCCCCAGCACATTTTCTTTCTTTTCTTTTTGCTTTTTACACTGGTGAAAACCAATGTAGGTCATGGGCACACAGGTGTACGCCTCAGCAAAAAGCAATCACATGGCTCACAGAGTTCACTCACCAAAATGGAGGTGGAGGTGGGTGGGTCCATGCCATTGATAGGCTAGGCAGGCTGAGAGAGAGCCAAGCAGACTCCTTCATGCCAGAAGTGAAGGAAAGGCACTCTAAGTAGAAGAACCTGTACTGCAGTTCTTAAGGCAGGAAAGAACATCCCAGGAACCTAAATGACCCAGTGTGGCTTCAGTGATAGAAGTAATGATAAGATTTTATCCCAAGCGCAACAGGAGACTTTGAAGGGTGTTAAGCAGATGAGCAATATGCCACCATTTATGTTTTTTAAAGAACACTCTAGCTATGACACAGAAATGGACTACAGCCCAACATGTGCCAGACGCCCAGAGAAAAACTCTTGAAACCAATCACTCAATAAGCCTTCTGACCCCTGCTTGGTGCCTGGGGACAAATGATTTCCCTTATAATTTGATCCCCACAGGGGAAGACCCAAGGGACACCAAGATAATTCATACCGGATTCCTGTCCTCCATGAGCTCTCAGTCTATAGAGAGAGGAAGATACATAAATAGAGCAGTCATACTATAATAGGGACAATAGGGGCTGAAAGACCAGAGTTGAGGGGTGTCACAGAATGCTCCACCAAGGAAGAAAGGTTTGAGCTGGGTCTTAAAGAGAAAACAAGAGCTCTGCAGGTGAATACAGGAAAGGCATTCCAGGCAGAGGGCACAGCATGGAGAACGACACAGAGGCATGAAAGCACACACTATGGTTAAGAAACCTGATAAAATTCTGCATGGCAGGAGCACAGGGTTGGGGTAAAAGTCTGGCAAAAGGCAGCGGGGAGGAGGGCAGGGAACTAAGGCCCAACACAGGCCCAGAAAGACCTTGTCCATCATCTTACACGAACAGCACTTTTCCTCAGGGACTACGGAGAGGTGGAAAATGATTAAGCAGGGAGATTTTCCTTTTTAATTGATCCCCTTTGATGTAAGGGAGGGAATGACCTAGAAGGGAGAGATCTGAGGGTCCAATAGAAGGGAGAAACATACACTGCCAGTCTCTGACAGAGGTGACTGGGATGCATAGCTGTTACAATCTGCCTTGAGCAGCTGCCCTCAGTCCCAGGCTTCTCACAAAGCCTCACAGGCCAGAGGCTGCTGGGCAGCCCTCTTGGTCCTAAGACCTAGAAGCCAAAGAAACCCAGGAAGAGGGAGTGTTGCAAGAAACAGAAAAGGAGCTCTGGTGCAAACTGAAGTCAGAAGAAATTCTGAGAGCTGTATGTCACTCCCACCCCATAAGCCCTTCCTAAGGGAGCTCTACTGTTCACAGAGCCCCTCCAGGTTCCTCCCCCAGGACCCCCATCCACATCCCTGGGGTCGCTGTCTTTGACCCATCCACCCCCCACCCAGGCTCTTCACTAAGCTCAGGGTGCCACATCGGGAAGAACACAATTCTGCCCATCAATGGCCTGGACCCCAACACTCCAGCTCCCCACACCTATTAACTACACTCCATCCTGGGCCTCAATTTCTCCATTTATAGTCCTGCCTCTCACAGAGAATAGATGGAAATGGGTTTTGTAGGATATAGAGCACCAATGAAGTGGAAAAAATCCTCTTCCCACTTCCTAATGCTTTTAAATCAATTTGATTTTAAAACTGCCTGAAGCAGAGATGATTGTTTTCTTCGGCCCATAGTGTGGAGTACTTAGTAAGGACTATTATTGTAGAGACCATGGAAGTTTCCAGAAAAGCAGTTCTGGAGCTTAGAGCTCACCAAATTTGTTTTAATGCTTTCTCTTCAGTTCATGGTCAAGACAAGTAAAGCCTCATGAGAAAGTAGGACAAGCCCAGGTCACTTCCAGGTCTCCTGGAACCTAAGTGACTGTCCCTTCTTCCAATGCCAAGGAGCCAGCTGTGTATAGTGGACCCCGCCTTCCTGTGACAGAGATGGGCAGAGGGAGGTGGTGACCTCATGAAGAGGGGTAGACAACCAGGCATTGTTTGACCCCTGGGGTCTGGCAGGGCTGAGCCTGAGTGGGCAAAGGAGTGGGCTGGAGGCTCTGGCAGCCTGAGGGGCAGCCCCTGTGGTGGGGAAATGGCAGGGAGTTCTCTGTGACAGCTGGACTTACAATGGGGGCATTGTTCCTTCACTTTGATATATCTGTTCCCTGAAGGGTGGAGGGCAGAGAAAGAGAACTGAGTCCAGGAGCACCTGCCAAGGCTGAGAGAGGAAGCTGTGAGTGTCCATCTAGAGGTAGGGTAGTCCTGAATGCCCCTGTGGCAGCCCACCCCTAAGCCACCTGACAAAGGTTACAGATGCAACAGAAAAACATCTTCCTCAGCCATGCCCCATTTTCTCTGATCCTTTCTCTTATTTCAGGCACTTCATGCCATGCCTTGCTTTGTGCTTTGCCTGCTTTTGTAATTTTTTTTTTAATTTTTACTATCTAAGCATTTCTTTTACACACTCCCTAAATTCCCTAAGTAGCTTTTCATAATTTTTTATTATATTTTCTATTATATTGACCTTTAAAATCAGAAAATTCAATGCTGGTGAGTTTGCACTAAAACCTGCATCTTCTCATGACACCATTAATGATTCTACCTTCTGAAAAGAAATCTGATGATATGGATCAAGAAGAATAAAAATGTCTATAACCTTTCTGATGAAACTAAGTCATTTGAGACTGCTATGGGCTAGTATTTACATAGTATCTTATTAATCCTCATTAAAATCCTATGAGGTACAAATCAAGTTTACAGGTGAGTTCAATGACGCTAAGAGTAATTTGCCCAAGATCACACAGGTAGTAGATCAGAGGCCAGGTCTTCTGACTCTAAAACCACTGCAGCTTCCATGGTGCCATCCCTTCCAGGTCATCCCATAATCCCACTCTTGGGAATTCATGCCGAGAAATTTTACTTTTTAATTTTAAAATAAAAAGTGTTCACTGTATTATTGATTATGATACCAAAAATTGGAAGCAATCTAAATATCAATTATAAAGGAAAAATAAAGCAAACTGTAACAAATCCACTAGAAACAATATTATTAACAATTAGAAATTAAAATGTAGAATACAGCAACATAAAAATTTTTCAAAACTGAAAAATGCATACATGTATTGTGAACGCAACTGTGTAAAAGTATACCTACATAAATCGCAGCCAGCAGGGCATCAGGCAAAATGAAAGCATTATTTAACAGGGAAGTAGAATTCTGGGAGAATTTTTCTTTACAAGTGTTTTTTAATGCCATTTTGATGTCTTCAACGATAAGTTTATAATGGTCCTGCTGATGTTTCAGTGCCAGATTGCATGTGCTTTCCCAAATTATCTATTCTGTCTGCCAACTCAAATAAATTCAATTTTGTTTTACAGAAATAAACATAAAATAACTTTCTTTAAACTAGGATTTTTGAATTCCATATTTTATATGGGATCTTTTATAATTTTTCGCTTACTCTTTTTGGGACCTTAGTATACATCAAAATCAGGCCAATATCTGCAATTGTTCCTTGCCTTTGACTGCAATTCTTGTGCTGTAACAACAGTTTGACATTCAACCACTGTGGGAAAAGAAGAAGAGAAAACCACAAAAAGCGATCAACCCTGCTGAAAACAAAAGCTTGCCATGGCTTCGCAGCAGCCAGGGGACTCACAGGAAAGGTATCTGCTCCTGCACAGGGCCACCTCTCAGCACTTCAGCTACTGCCAGTCTATGAGGACTTTGAGAATTCCAGTGTTTAAATCAGAGGCTATTGGGTCACAAAGAACAGAGATCCATTTAAACTAGCTCAGGTTATATAGGAGTTGACTGTAAGATTCCTAGAGATATCTGCAGTGTCCCCAAAGCACAGGAAGTTCAACCAGGCCTTATGGGACTGGAAGAAGACAGGGCTTGTCCCTGTTTCTTTCCCTCTTTCTTTTAGTTCCTCCTCCTTCAGCAGCCTGGACCCCTGTTCCTCACTCAACAACTCCCAGGGGACACAGCCCCTGGCCACCCCTTCACCAAGACCCTGACACCAGCATTTTCCTGGCTTTCTCAGGCCAGTTTCCTCTGCCCCCTTCCCCTCCCTGCCTCATCCCCTCAGAGAGCAGCAAGTTCTGTCACAATAAATGGAGTCCCAGTCTGATGTGAACAAAGATCTAGAACAAAGAATGCTCAATGCAAAACCGAGAGTAAAGGTGGGTGAATCAAGGAGGCTAACACATCCTGTCAGAATCAGCCAAGATCAGACAGGGTAAAAAAAATCAGAGTTTAATAAAATTCCCAGGGCAACAATCCAGGGGAGAGAAAAAGAATATTTATCCTCAAAGTAAACAGAAAAATTTAAAAGTCAGTAAACTGGACTGGGTCACTGTTAAGTTGGTAGCAAGATGCTTCACCACGAGCTGCCCTGAGGCTGCCCAGTGCTGGGGAACAGAATGAAGCCCCCTGCATGTGGTGCTGACCTGGCTGATTCAGACAGCAGGAGAAATTGTGGAGCAGAGAAGTAATAGCAATAAAAAGGGAACCATGGGTGTTTACTGGGCAGCATCAAATGATAGCAGAACTGCTGGTTAGGAAACCTGGCTCTGCCACTAATTTGTCAAGTAGCATTGAGTAAATTACTCTCCTCTTTGGGCCTCAATTTCCCCATTTATAATGTGAAGACATTGGACTAAAAAATTCTTGAGGTCCTGCCAACCAACAATAGCCCTTGAGGCAGAGGTGTGCTGAAGTCACTCTTACTGGCTTGTGATAACCAATAAATTGGGGGGAATTTTGTGAGCCTGTTGTTAGACACAGCCATTAAAATAATAAATAATTTAAATGTAAATATACATTTTTAAATTAAAAATTAAATTTAAATAGATATTTACAATTAAATAAATTATATTAAAAACCAATAGTAAATATACTCAACATCACTTCCTAATTATTTTACTACAGTTTACTATTATCTATGCCACAGATCAGCAAACATTTTTTATAAAAGGACAGATATTTTAGGCTTTGAGGGCCACAGACAGTCTTTGTCACATTCTTCTTCTTTAAAAAGCCCTTTAAAATGTAAAAACTAATCTTAGCTCATGGTCTACATAAAAACAGTCTGGATCAGATATGATCTACAAGCTATAATTTGTAAATCACTGACATATGCTCTTAAGGTCATTTACATCTATTTGACCAGTATAGAGGAGACATTGTATAGTTGTGTGCTACTGAGCAGTTTTTCCCAACTCCATGTTGTGATGTCATGTTAGCAGCTTAACATAGGCTGTGCTGGGAGTATTTACACTATGGAAATGGGCAAACACTGCACTTCAGGCCCTTTTTCCCTAAAGAGCTAGTGGTAAACATTTATTAGCACTCCACTGTTCGGAGATCACGGTGGGAGAGAATCACAGAAAACTAAAGCATTTACCAACTCACCCCGGAAATTAGGTAGGGAAGCAGAATGAAAAAGGAAAATGTAGCCCATGGAGCCAGAGGAAAAGCAAGACTGAGAGACACCCAGACCTACACAGGACCTCATCCACAGGTGATCTTTTGGATCATCTCAGGTTTGAGGTTTGCTTTTTTATGCCTGAAACTTATTCTATTTTTCTCTTCTCTCACTTTGAAAAGGCTATTTTTGTCTTCCCTGCTGCCTTGGACGATAACAAAGTAGTTCATGTCTGCTCAGAAGCCACCAGGGACAGACACTGTGCAAAGCATTCATGGCTACGAGGGAGACAAGCAGATGCCACAGGGAAAGGCTGTCTCGTGTGGAGCAGCCTCGTCTGCTATTCTGGGGTGGATTTGGGGCTTCTCTTAAAATAGAACAATAAACGTGCAGGTCTAGACTAAGCAGCAATTTTGGTTTTAGGGAAAGCCGATACCTAGAAGGCTGAGAATAACCCTGAGAAAGTTTGTTTTCAACAATTTGGGCTCAATTAGGAAGGAAAAGTGCCTGGTAAGGATCGAAGACACAATCTAAACCAGGAGTAGGCTTTTGGAGCGTTCATGAGGGGACCCTCCTACAAATTCCCAGACTGCAAACACTAGCAACATTGTACTGCGTGTGGCATAAAGAGGTGCAGCCTTAACTCTTTTGAAAGAAGTGTCTCTAGTGCCCTAACACCAGGGAAAATCTACCCTGGTTATGTGTCCCACTTCTCATCACCTGCATTGCTTCTCTCTGCCAATCATCACAAGGAAAACTGATGGCAACCAGAAAGACGTCATGGTGTTCTCCAGCTTTTAGTCACCTAATCCAAAATGCTGTGGCAGGAGGATAGCATGGATGGGTGGTGGATGGACACAAAGATGGTTAGGGAGAGCTGCATGGACAAAGGAACCCTTGAACTAATCCTTGAAGTAATAATCAGAGAATAAAAGTAAAGGGTATTCAGGGAACACAAAAATGCATGACATGATTATTATATGTAAAGGTGTTTGAACCCATTAGTGATGGGGGAAATTCAAATCAAAAACTACAGTGAGAGGTAAAAAGCCACAAAAGAACATCCTTCCCAATCCTAACAACGAGAAAACAGCCAGACTGCCAACAAAATTATAACTTCATTTGAGCCCATCAGAGAGCCAAGGTTACAAAGCAATTGGGAGAACTGAATTACAAAAAGAGGCAAGCCCCTCCAGAGAGAGACACACAAACTCTTCCACCTTCACCAAAGCCTCTATTGAGAAAGGGGTGACATGGCTGCTGTAAAAGGAAGAAGAGCTAACATTGTAAGAAATTATTTTTTATTGATACATAATGATTATATATATTTCTGAGGTATGTGTGATATTTTGATATCTACATACATGTAATAATCAAATCAGGATAACTGGGATATCCACCTCTTCAAACAGTTACCATTTCTTTGTGTTAGGAACATTCCAAATCTTCTCTTCTAGATATTTTGAAATACACAATAAATTACTCATTATAACAGATTCTTAAAGCTGAGTGTGGATGGGTGTGACTTAAGAATCCCTTGAACCCAGACACAAGAGGAGTTCATACTCCAACTCTTTTCCACAGCCTCCACAAGGTGCTCAGAAGAAAGACTGGGCAGGCAGCAAAGCTGAGAGAGCCCTCACTGGCCCACAGAAAGAAAATCCTGCCCATTTTCCAGAACCTTCCTCTTTATTAGAAGCCAAAGCCTTAAGCCACTAGAGTAGGGGTAGGCAACCTTCCCACTCCCAAGGCCCAGGCAAAGATCCAATCTGAAGAAGGGGAAGACGCCAGGCCACCTGCCTCTGGGGAAGAAGTAGAAAAGCTCTCTGCCCCCATGATGAGCCTTCCACTGAGGAATAGGCCACAGCAATCTCCTGCTCGGAGGAAGAGCAGAAAACTCCCTGCAACTGGTCTTAGCTAATGAGATACCACTATACACCCCAACAGAATGGCCGAAATTAGCAAGATTAATGATGCCAATAACTGGCAAGAACATAGAGCAGCAGGAACTCTAACACACTCCTGGTGGGAGTGTGAATTGGTACAACCACTTTGGAAAACTGTTTTGCAATACCTAGTAAAGCTAAGCATGTGCATATCCTATGAGCCAGCAATTCTGCTTCCAGGTATATATTCAAGTGAAATGAGTACATATAAGGGTCAAAAGGCTTGTAAAAAAGTGTTCATATCAGAACTATTTGAGATATCCCAATACTATAAACATCCCAGTAATAATTTATGTGTAAATTGTCAAATGATAGTTTCTTCACACAATGGAATGAATACTATACCATAGTGATAATGGCCAAACTACTACTACCTTCAAAACAAATAAGTCTAGTCAACATGTTGAGCTAAAGAAGCCAGTTGGAAAAGAATCCATGAATCCATTTATATGAAGTTCAAAAACAGGCGAAACTAATATATAGTGATGGAAATCAGATAACAGTTATCTTTTGGAGGGTAGTAACTAGATGGAGGGAGGAGGGGAATTCTGGGGTCCTGGTAATGTTCTACTTCTTGATCTGGTTTACATTGTGAAAACTCATCAAGCTGTACCTTTATGATCTGAGTCCTTTTCTATTTGAAAGTTATACCTCAATTTTTAAAAAAAAACGTTTAAAGAAAAGTACATAGTATGATAAAAATGTTGAACAAGTCAGGCAAGCCAAAGTCATGAAGGAGATGGAAGGTGGGTGAGAATGCACCCAGAATGTGGAAGCGCTTCTTGAGTTTGAGGCCAAGAGGTTTAGCCTTTGTTCCTCAGGCAAAGCAGTGCCACTAAAGGCTTTTTAAAAAAGATAATTGTAGGCCGGGCGCGGTGGCTCACGCCTGTAATCCTAGCACTCTGGGAGGCCGAGGCGGGCGGATTGCTCAAGGTCAGGAGTTCAAAACCAGCCTGAGCGAGACCCCGTCTCTACCATAAAAATAGAAAGAAAATAATTGGCCAACTAATATATATAATATAAAATCAGCCGGGCATGGTGGCTCGTGCCTGTAGTCCCAGCTACTCGGGAGGCTGAGGCAGGAGGATTGCTTGAGCCCAGGAGTTTGAGGTTGCTGTGAGCTAGGCTGACGCCATGGCACTCACTCTAGCCTAGGCAAGAAAGCGAGACTCTGTCTCAAAAAAAAAAAAAAAAAAAAAGATAATTGTAGAATCATATGCACTTGTAAGAAGTAATACAGAGAAATCCTTCATCTAGTTTCCCACAACGTTGACATCATGGAGACCCATAGTACAGTATCCCAACCATAAAACTGGCATTGATGCAATCTGCCCACATTATCCAAATTTTACCAGTTTTACATGCACTCATTTGTGTGTGTGCATGTGTTCAATTTGATTCAATTTTATCACAGATGTAGATTTGTGTGACTACCACCACAGTCAAGAAACAGAATAGTTCCATTACAAAGATCCCTGGTGCTACCCTTTTACGGAATTATTAAAGAAACAGTGGTATGTCTACAACATGGAATACTACCCAGCAATAAAAGGAAACAAACTATTGATATATCCAACAATTTGGATGGATCTCAAGGACATTATGCTGAAGTGGAAAAAAAGCCAATCTCAAAAGGTTACATACTGTATGATTTCATCTATATAACATCCTTGAAATAACAAAAATTATAGAGATGGAAAACAAATGAGTAGTTGCCAGGGCTTAGGGATGGGGGCTGGCAGGGAAGTGGCTATGGCTATAAAAGAGTAGCACAAAAGGCTTCTGAGCAGGGGATGGCCATGAATAACACACGCCAGAGAATCCCACTCATTCTTAGTGCCTCCACTATGACTTCCCAAGACTTTAATCCTCCACCCTTCACCCTACCATTCCTACCCCTTCCTCACTGCCACCCTCAGCAGCTGCCTCCTACTGCTTTAATATCTAGCAAATGAGCAATGGCTTGGGCCTTGATTAACACATTGACTGCCATGTGAGTTGTATTTAACTCAAGCTAGTTTTGAGCCTGAGGCCTTATGAAGCAAAACCCTGCAGTTGGTTCATGAAAATCTTACTTGTTGTTGTCCTTGTTGTTATAATTAATTCTAAAAACATGGATTGCATTACATATAACTCACACACAGAAAACAATAAAAAATAGCAAAATAGAAAGGATCGTTTTATTTTAATAAAACACCATGGCCCCAAGGAAAACATTTTTTTCTAGTGTGGCAATCAATGTCTTAAAGGACCCTGTTGAGAATGGACCCTCCCCACTGGAAGCCCAATATGGTGCCTTCTATCCATTAGGGATCATAGGTTGCCCCTCTGTTCTGTGACTCTTTTTCCTCTCCTATAGGCCTTCTTGAGGAGCTGAGAGCCCTTTGATATACTTAGTGTATAACCTGTCTTGTGAGTTTGGGAGAGTGTTTTGGTTTTTATATTTTTTCTCTTGCTTCAGTATGTTCCCTAGATTTAATTCTATTAAGCTGCTTCAAAAATAAATATGTTGTTGCAGGGGGTTGGGGAAGTAGTTAGTACAACATTTCTCTGTTATTTTGAAATTAGACCCATGGGAAGCCTCTAGGCACACAGTAAAGTCTGACATAATCCACTTACAAATGAGATTAAGGGGCTGATGGTTTTACACAAATAGGCAACTCCCTGATGTACCCATGGATGGCACACTGGATCCCAGAAGCCAAATAAGAAGAGAAGGTGCATTTCACAAATGCATACCAGGAAGAAAAACCCATGTCCTGTAGAGAGGTACACATGCCTCAGGAACAACTGGCCCCTGAGTAGACTCCACTGCATGGCTGTGAGCCAGGCCCTGTGATTCTAGCTGAGGACACTGTCCCTGTGTTAAGCAGACTACTTGTGTAGGGGAAGGACATTTGAGCTGGGCCTAAATGGTGAGCAGTTTACCAGGCTGTAGTGGGGAGTGGTATTCCAGAAAAAGGGACCAACAGGATGAGAAAGGCACAGGATTCATTGGGGTACATGGGGCAGTCTGTCGTGACATGCTCCGGGAAAGAGGGGAATAGAGATCAGCAGAGGCCTTGTCTGTTGTGGTGAAGAACTTGGCCTTTAAGCAATGAGCAAGCACTGGCAGTTTGGAAAGCACAAGTGTGACTCAATACTTTAGAAAAATTACACATGTGGCCCTGTGCACGCAGAAAAATTACAGGGAAAAGACTCTAGTCAGAGAAATTGATTGGGAACCCATTGCCTTCCCTCATCCTCCTCACTGACAAGAATGAGCCGAAGAAATGATCCAACTTTTGGGAGATTTTCATGATAAGGTGGTTTCACTGCAAGCACAGCCTCCTCTTGCTGGGATACGACATGTCAAAACAAGGATCAGACTTTTGCTGATGAAAAACAGAAAAAAGCATTGAGTGTAGTTTTCAGACAGGTGGGGACTCCCAGCTTAAGGCTGCAAGATATAGGCCTTTCTGAGCCCGTACGATGAACCATCAGTGGGCTGCAGATAGGCGTTGAGAAAGATCTAGTGCTTAGTGCAGGCTGGGGAGTTAGGACATCTGGCTTATCTGACAGAGGGGAAGCAGCCTGCCAAGTGTCTGTATGGAGGGTGGCTAAGGAGCCTCCTGAGAGGGGACATATCCTCAGGGAAGAAAGAACCTGTTAGGCTGTAAGAAAGTCCTCAGGATAGGAAAACTCTGAGTTCAGGGAGGTATCTGCCCCTCCAATTTGTCTCTTGACTCAGCCCCTACTGGGTTTGTATCAGAGTCCCTGTTGAAAAAGAAGCTGTGAGTAAAGACAGAAACACCTTGGAGCTTTGTGGCACCTCTAACAGTGTAACACAGGAGAGGGGGATGGTCTTCCTCCACCCACCTTGGGCACCT